ATCATAACAATGAACTCCTTACATTGAGCCGATCAATCAAATCAAGACTGCCCTTTGAGGAACCAGTCTACACGGATGGCTTGTACTTTGTCAAAACCCCCTCTGCTGAGACAGCAACTCATTTTACAAGTGGCCGTAAGGCAGGTAGATGACATATATGCCGAACGCATGCTGCAGTGAAGCGACTTCCATTCTTTCCAGTGAAACTTAGTCACAGGCAGCACTCGAGACATGTGGAATGCATCATCTTGAAAATGTCGAAATAAGATTAATTCACTGGCAATATACAGTGAGCAATAAGCAACACAGCTCAGGATTGATTGCTGGTTCAGCAGCAGCTGAGTAACAGAAGCTGATTATTGTGATGGATGCTAAAACCACATGCCACATTTAGAATCCAATAGGATGCAAGTACATGGTTAATCTATGAAGGTGTGTTGCGAAAGACAGTGAGATTGTGACAGTACAGCTCCAGCAAGCACGGCACGTTGCATTTTGGTTGCAGTTAGATATTGTCACAGAAGTGCCTTTTAAAAACATCCAACAGAAACCACACATACCACTGAAAAATAGCGAATGCAACCACAATTTAAAATGTAAGAAACGTCGATAATTATACCTTGCAGGTTTTCTTTAATATTAAAAAAAATCTATATTTTTATAATGGAATCAAAACCTGCTTAAAATGCAACGTTTGTAGGATGCTTTATCTTAGCATAATCAACTTAATAGAGTTAATATACCTGAATACAAACATGCCATTTGTCTCCTTTTTTTAAGCTTACAGGAAATTTAACTTGCAAAAATGTTACTTTAATTAATTGTGAATATTCATATTGCTTCACTACATTGTTAGGCTAATAGAAGAAGGAGCGCACTATACATTCATGTTTCCGTCGCGAGTCTGTTTGTGTTTTCTGAGGTAGGCTAAGGCACCTATAACCTCAAGAAAAAATATAGCAATATCTTCTAAATAACATGAGTGCAATGTCATATGTAGCTGTAAAACGGAATAAAAAACAGAAGGAACTATGCCGACTATTTATGATTTAGACTTAGGGCTACAATAACCATACAGCCTATTGACAATATTTGAGCGAACTATTGAAAAGAAACAAGACAGACAAGGTTTAATATCATATCATATCATTTTATATCAGTGAAACAAAGAGTTACCGTCTAGAAAACTACAAAAGACGTAAAAACAGTCAAACTAAAATAATACTGCAAAAAAAAAAACATTGCATGGCCATATAAAGACAAGACAAATCCCCAGCACTTTCCAAAATTAGTTACATTTACGAACTTAATGCATTTAGCCTATAGCCTACCCTTTTCATGTGTGGTTTCAAATAGAAAAAGATTAGAAAGTTAGCCTTTTTAATATAAACTGAATGCTTCATAATGACTTACCATACTTGTTGATAGTTCAGTGGGATCAGTCGCCTTTGCAGTGAGTAAACGTGAAGAGCACACAGCAGCTATAAGACATCCGCCTTGCGCTGATTGGATGCTGAGCCCTGCGCGCTGCTCCGGAGGCTGATGGTGCGCTCGCTCCACCCGCATCTCACCGACTGCTCGTCGTGGGGATTTTGATTCATTCCAGTGATTCGAATCTTTAGAATCAGTTCACCCCAAAGATTTGTTCACTTGCGTTTTCAAGTGGATTAGTGGAATCCTTTGACTAATGTAACTGGTTCACTTTAACGTAACACATAACACTTTTCTTGCAATAATTCTTATATGAATATCTTACGAGCTAAGGTAAAATCCCCAAAGTGAAGTTCATGAAAGACAGCTTTAGCCTAATTCCCATAGTGTTTCATGCTTTCTTTCTATCGAATGGTTTCCTAATCTTGAGCACCACGCCCAAAGAATTCGTGTTTTACCGGAGATGTACGTTTGCAGTCTATTTGGAATATAGTAAAAAAAAGTACCATGGTCCGCAAAATATTGACAACAAGAAACGCCTGAGTTGTCCTTGAGCCACGAGTGGCGCAAATAAACAAATAGCCTACTACAACGCCACCAAATCATTAAAAAATCTTCTGAGAAGTGTTGGGAGCGTTCAAAACATGTTTCAAAACAGAGTGCTTTTCAAAATTAGCCTAGTTACGTTTTTTTTTTCTATCCAAGTCATGTGATTTCGTCATACTGTTTCGAAATTATCTTAAAGGGGTCATATGATGCGATTTCAATTTTTCCTTTCTCTTTGGCGTGTTACAAGCTCTTGGTGCATAAAGAAGACCTGTAAAGTTGCAAACACTAAAGTCTCAAAACCAAAGAGATATTCTTTATAAAAGTTAAGAGTTAACCACGCCTATCTAAAACGGCTCGTTCTAACACGCCCCCACATATCTACCTCACTATGTGGGAAGATTTGCATAAAGCCACTCAAATATTCATGCAAAGATAGAAGGCGTAACTTTTATTCTCGCTGTAGTATTGTTGACGCTGCAGCCATGTCCTAAAGACGCCGTGCGCTTTGTTGTGAAAGCGAAACTACTTTGTTTGGTCTTCCAAAAGAGGACGATATCCGCTTCGTCATGCCTAGAGCTGATCTGTGCTGGTCGCTGAGGGAATACATCAACTTTCACCCCTGCTGCCTCAGCTCACTCTATCCCAGCCTCAATGCATGCTAAGCCGAGGCTTCCCCTCACGCTTGGCCGCTGTGTTTTTCGTTGCCACTGATGATTCAAACGTGAGTTTTGGGCAGTAGAATAGCACTTGTTGTTTGTAATTTCTCCGATCACAAATGCAGACAGAGTTTTATGTTTACGCGGCGTGATGCAATGCAACGC